CCTGAACAACTATGTCAAAGTTCCTAGTATGGCCACGACATCGGCGGGCATTCTCTCTGCACGTTTCGTACCAGCCACCTGACGTGTGCGGCCGCCAAGGCGACCTTTCGGGCCGGATCGAGTCGATCCGATCGATCCGCTCCCTGCGGTTGCCGTCTCTCCACCGCGGCTCGAGCTCTCTTGACGTGCTCGGCTTCGATCCGGCAGAGCTCATAAGTTGTGAGCTATAACCCTCCTCTAGGTTGCGGGTCTTCAGTCGTGTGATGTATGTTCGGATCGTGTTATACGGATAACCCACCTTGTCCGTGACATAAACCGAGCGAGCAGTATATTCCCCGTCAATGGGGATAATCCTTCACGGGTCGACAGCCTCACCGAACAGTATGTCCCTCAGGATTGCCCCGGCGCTCGAGCCTCCATCACGTTTGAAGGGCCTAGAACCAGGTCGCGTCTCAACCCAACGCATTTCATCAAGGAACGGGACCCGTTCAACGGGTCGGGAGCACGGTAGCACATGAGAGCAGCGATGCGGTTGCGGCAGCGGCATCTCAGCTACACGCCATGAAGCGCACGGACCGTGATTATCAATGCTGCGCACGGCACACTGGATTTACATTGTCTTCTGGATAGTATCCCAAAAAGCAGGAGTGCTATAAGCAGAGTCTCGGGATAGTCGATCAGCAACGAGGTTTTCTCTGCTGGATACTCTATTCGCGATTAAGGTGGTCAAAACGAGTGGCACTCGCTGAGTGCCGTGACCCGTGAACGGAAGCTGCGCCAGGATTGGCTTCGGAGAATGCAACTTGGTGAGGAAGCCCCGTACAGCAGTGCTGTCTACGAGCAACAGAGATCAGTAATACTAGCTTATAGAGGCAGCTTCCGGCCAGTCTTTGAGCGGCTGTTGGCGTCAACGTGGCCGCCAGCAGTTCAAGCGCGACCATGTTACGAGATTCCGGAGACGCCGATATGTCTTTCAGTCAGCTGTCGTTATTGAAGACTCTTCAATCCCCAATGGCACTAGGGCAATGCTGTGCAACCGCCTAGCTTGAAGACTGGTGCTCGGAAGCACTGAGCTTGCTCGGTTGCTTCTGGGCCGGACAGTGAGCTAACACCCTCAAGGCGCTCAACGACGCGTCGAAACCCATAACTGTTGATCTCGATTTGTGCAAAGCGCGCGTGGCAGGTCGCCTACTGGATGACCCGGGCATGCAGCCGCATTCCGATCATCATGTCCGGAATGTGGCTGGCTGTGCGGAGTCTACTTTGGTAGTAGTTCTACTCTGTTACGACTATGCACCACCGTAGAGGATGAAGACTCTGCTGAATCAGCATCACTAAACAATTTGATGGTGGTTGACCAGCACTGCTGGGTCACAGTCACTGGTAGCGGGACCCTTCGCTCAATTGAGTAAACCGAGGAGACGCGAACGCCTCGTCACCTGCGCGTTCCCTGCGCGTCGGGCGTGTGCAGGCTGCGTCCGAAGGCTGCACTCGACAATGTGCTTTCTGCCTGGTAGTGTAAGTGCCTGGCGGCTGAAAGAGCATTCCCATGAGGCGTGGTTGAGCTTCATGGCATACATTGGAGTGCGACTCGCATGACATAGCTGAGCCTTGGCGACTCGTGAGGTGCGAGTGCAAATGGAACGCAGGGATGCTTGGCAAAGCCCAGGGGCTCGCAGGTTAGCCGTGTGAGTGACACGGTGTGACTCGCACCACGCATACTATGGATTGCATAGCTTGGCAGTGAGTGTGTGCCGTCACGTAACAACAATGTTAGTAAAATCATGTTACGATAACACTCACCTTGCTTTCGCCACTGACAAGGCGAGATTCTCGCGGTGAAGTTTGCAAGGGATGTCTCGATGCGCTGCGTTGAGCATCCTGGTCACAAGAGTTTCTCGTGCTAGAGTTATTGCTAATAGAACCGACTGCAATTTATAGCCTAAGTTTCACATCAACCGTGAGATGCATGCCGTACGTGATGATCATCACGTCGTAATGCACTAGCCTGCATCCTACGCTTGTTGTGTGATGAGGTAGCATTATACGACCGTGGCGTAGCTGCGGCACGATGTCGACCACCGGCATCGGCATGCATTGGCTCATGAGACAGGCGGTCTTTCCAATTCGAAGGTCGCATGGTGTTCAGTGGTAGAGGCTGAGCATATCTGGCTTGCTTTCATTTAGAGGAAAGCACCAAGTCTTCAAGCTGCATGGGCTTCATACCATGGGAGGAGTTGCCGCATCTTGCCGAAAGGCATACAGGGGCTCACAATGGTGTATAGCGACAGCTGCCCTGTCCTCGTTGAAGACATACACGGGCTCCAAATAGTTGGAGGATCCCCCTCCCTGGTTGCGCACGTTATATATTTGTATGGATATCCTCAGTTACTGAGGCTCAGTATACACTTACAAGTAAGTATCAGTATCAAGTAAGTCTCAGTATGGTTGCGCACGTTATATATTTGTATGGATATCCTCAGTTACTGAGGCTCAGTATACACTTACAAGTAAGTATCAGTATCAAGTAAGTCTCAGTATGGTTGCGCACGTTATATATTTGTATGGATATCCTCAGTTACTGAGGCTCAGTATACACTTACAAGTAAGTCTCAGACTTACAAGTCTCAGACTTACAAGTAAGTCTCAGTATGCAGCATTTTGCAGGAAGAAGGATCACGGATCACGGATCACGAGTAGTGTAATGTAGCACAAGAGCCCCGTGACAGGATCACCGTGTTTCAACACGTCAAGTACCACTAATCCGTAAACTGATCTTTCCAAAGGATGAAGGGCTTGATATCATGCTTGATCCGGAATCCGGATCAGAGGGTGACACCCCGGGAAAAGGGATCACGGATCATCCAGGATTGATCCATTTCCATTAGGATGATTAATCCTAATTTCTCAAGACGTCTGAGAACTTCTCAACTCGGTGATCTTTGGATCACGGGTCAAGTTCTTCCTCAAGGATCATAGATCAGGATTCAAAATGAGGATCACGCGAGATCCAGCTCACGGATCTGTATCAACAGTCAAGGATCAGGATCACAGATCACGCATCAGGATCAAGAATCACAGATCTGACTCACGCATCTCGGATCACGAAAGATTTAGCTCAGACGTCAAGATCAACGAGTGATCTGGATCGTGTGCTTGATCCGTGGATCAGGATCCGCATACCGGCCCTGTTAGAATCTAACACCACTCAAGGCACCACTAAGCCATACTATATTGTTATAAATCAGATCGATACCTCCTGATAAGCATACTGCGGTACTATTAATTGGTAGTATTCTCCTACTCTCTATGGCCACCATGCGGTGTGGCGGCAAACAATAGGACCATGCTACCTCTATCATCATTCTTTTTCTCAACATCAGTGATAACTGAATCATGTAGGCACTGCCTACTAGGTAGTAAGCCTATCCTTAATAGAGTCCTCCAATACATCATAACTCCTATCTTATCAATAACCGTAACATTGTTCCCATCAGCATGTGATAGACTCTACTAATAATATCTAACGAGTACGTTCACCGAGCGCCAATCATCTTACCACGATTGTTACTAAGCGAGATAACCTCTCTATAAATCCAACTCCACTACTGTGAATAATAATGCATATCAGAAGGATTAGATATCGACATTATTACTAGGTGTGATAACTTGAGAGAGTCATACACCGATGAAATCTGGTAGATCATCTGAATTGTCATCTGCTACGTCCCAAATGGTATATGTTAAACCTTATCAAGTAATATTGATAACCATTAATAATCAGTATAACTACTTGCTCTAACAACACAATGATATATGATAATGTGGAAACCGCTAATATAACACTTAGGCGTTATGATCATCATTATTCCTAGTCTTCTAGTCAGATGGTTCCTCAGGGACAAAGTCACCAGTATCAATATCAGCTTGCCATTCTTGAGGGCTACGTCCAGCAACACTGCATCCAATAGCACGACAAGTACCAAGGATCTCCTTAACCGTACCCTTAAACTCCTTAGCCATAGAGGTAGGACGCATCTTCTTAGCAACACCCAATACTTGTTCCATAGTAAGGTTACCATTATGCTTAATATCCTTAGTCTTCTTCCTATCACGTAGAGGTTCCTTCAATTCCTTAATAAGCAAAGAAGTAGCAGTAGGTTTAATGGTAACAGTAGCCTTACGATTCTGTACAGCCAATTGTGCAGTAATCTTAATACCCTTCCAATCTTGGGAAGCCTTTTGGATATCCTCACCAATCTTCTTAGGCGACATACCAATAGGACCAACCTTAGGGGCTAGAACAGAGGATGCACCAACCTCACCACCATACTGGCGAACATAGATGATCTTTATCTCATTGGGGTCGAACTTAGGAGCCATCTTTGATATGAGCGGTCCACACGGAGTTTAACCAGACTCTAGTAGAGAGGATTCATCGTAGGACACGCGTAACATCCATATCGATCACGTGATCGATAGACTACAGAGCCTATTGAGGAGATAGATGTTGAGGAAATGCAAGAGTTGTCAAGTGGAGCAAGAGTTGATTGCTCCCTTTGATTTCTGACTTTCTTATTATTATTATTCGCTAGTAGTAGTGGTAGTAGTTGTCGTTGTTGTTATCATTAGATTACCTTTAGTTAACCATCAAGTTAGTATTATTATGACAACTACTAGTACATACGATGATACACAACATGCGATGATGAAATGTGTGGATAATGAGGATTCCACTTCCGCACTTCATAGTAATGGTAAAACTGTTAAGCTGAGGTTAATATTTGTTAATCATGATGGTAAAGCACTTGAAGAGGAGTTTAGTGTAATGCTAATAATAATATGATGTTTATATATGAATTATACAGGTGAATGATACTGTAATGGATGTTAAGAAAAGAATAATGCACGAAGAGAAGTGGCCTAAAGGTAATAATACTATTAATACATATTATGCTTATCATCATTATCATCAGACTTTCTACCAGTTAGTGAAGTTGGGCGATTACGCATATTCTCTGGAGGTAAAGAGTTGGAAGATAATAAGACCTTATCCGAGAGCAAGGTAAGGAGTAGGGAGGTTTTAATAATAATAATGGTAATAGATAATGGTTAATCCATCTGTACCTACACCTATACATGTTAGTGCTGTACCAAAGTCTGTACAAGCAGGTAATAATAATAATACTGCAGCGGTATCATATAATGTTGTATTTATCAGAAAATAAGGAGTCTGGCAGTAAAGGGAAACATTCTCAATGCTTCTGCACTATTATGTGATGATGGTAATAGTACTATGAGACATAATAAGAAGAGGAGGAAGGTCATCATTACTATCATAAATGATAATAATTATGCTCATGTATTTTACTCAACAATAGTGTACGGTTTTACTGTACTATCATTACCATCATCATTATTTTTCGCCGTTACTGCATCATCATCATCACCAACAACAGCGGTTTTTGGGTAAATCATTCTACCTAATAATGATGTTGACGATGTGAATCAACTGTATTATGGCAATGAGGTTATACTCTTCCTATCGTTAGGAAAGCATTACCATAAGAAGTACCTCATGGTGATACTATGATCAACTACTTATCATTATACTTCTATATAAACCATAGTATCATCATCATCATCATCATTGTTGTAAAGTTACCACAATATGGCTTTTGTTGCAGTATAGGTTGAGTTGCCAATTCCCTTCTAATGTTGTTGTATACTATTACTTAGGATGAACATTAACAATAGTAGTAGTAGTAGTAGAGAAGAAAGAGTCATCAATGTGAGGTAGTACTCAGCTTTAGTACATTTCCACTTGGATGAAACTGATGTTAATAATAAAGAGGAAATACTATCACAATGAAGACGTGTACTGGGTAAAAGTAGTGGTAGTACTAGGATAATCATCAGGGACATGATCGTGATGATTATGAATATGAGATCATCTTGGGACATTCATCAAAGATATTCGTACTACACGATGCTGTCACCCTTTATCACGTTGCAATGTTCTTATTGTATCCTTTCATTATGAGGAGGGTATAGAAGACTAATCACTAGTGAGCAGACATATACAAGTGTAGGATACTATTACCAACGTGTAGTATTATAATATGCAAGATGAATTCTATGGGGTGTTCACCAATATGGTGATTGTTGTACTATATATCCCAAAGAAGAGGAGGAGGAGGAGGAGGAGGAGTGTATTAATGATGATTAGTGTCATAATGGAGGTACTTATTGGATGCATTATGATATAATCATAATTTGGTTAAGACATTAAATACAACAATAATATTGGATATCTATATTCATGACGACTATTTACAAGAAGGATGATGGATTTTAGGAGTATCATGTAGTAATACCGACATATTCTATGGTTAACTGAGGATAGTATTTACAGTTATTGCGTGATATTGTATGTAACTGATGATGTTCTTATGTATTGTGTTGTGATTAGTATAATCATCATGATGATGATCATCATGATGATGAGCATGATAATATGTGTCTTAATAAACACTTCATTATCAGAAACAACACTAACATGTGTTATGTTATAAATGGTATACGTTTACGATGGAATTCCTTCATTCTCTTATTATTCTTCTTAAATTTGGCACCAATTGCCTCTTCTATATTATAATATCCTTTCTTTAATAATAAATCAGATAATTGATCCTTAAGCCTTCTAGCAGTCTGTGGTCCTTGAAATATGAATGCTGAATACACCTAATAATGATAAGTGGTAATAATAATATGATGATAATAATAATACCTGTATAATGGATGCACCATGTTCAATGAGATCTAATGCATCATGACCTCTTATAACACCACCAGATGCTATTATAGGTATCTAAAGTATTATTATAACTCGAATACAATCACGACGAAAATAATGATTATGATTACCTTCCCCTTTAATTGTTTATACCATTTACCAACACATTCATTAACAATTGATCTAGTTTCTCTGCCACTTATTGTTATATTATTATCCTTATCATATACAGCACCATTGATTACTATCCCTTCAATATTATTATTAATAGCTGCATCACTTAATTCTTCTCTAGCATCATCATTTTGATTTACTGATACTCTAATAAATAATCTAGCTGGTTTATGTACATCCAATACTCGTGTATACTCAGATGTAGGATGATGATGATAATGATGATGATGCTCTTGTAATCTATAAGCAAATAACAATAATAATAATCTACTACAACTACTAGTAATGATAATACTACTCTTTTTCATAAGAATGATCAAAATCCCTACGACGTGCCATTGCAGCTTGATATAAATGTAATATTCGTGGTATCTAGTAATAGGATTATTAATTCATCACCTTTACCATTATTAATACTACTACATCATTCTCTATATGTCTACAATCTAAAGATATCCAATCCACTTTATCAGCTAAAGTCTCAACACCTATTCTAACTTCTCTGCTTGTTGATGCTTTTATAGATATACCAATTCTACCAATACGTACTAGATCTGGGGTAAAATCAATACCATCCAGTCTTTTACTAATCTCATGAACACCAATGCTCTTATTGTCATGTGATGATGATAATGATGATGATGAAGAGTAGGAGGAGGACCATTTATTGCGTACATACTCCTCAGAAGGATAATATATGCTGAATGTAGCCATATCACGTTTAATTATAGAGGAATCATACAGTGTATCACTAGATAATTCCTCGGCCGTATTCCTTGTGAATATACTCGATAATATATTTAACAAGCGTAGTAGTACTTTAGATACTACACTATAATTATCATTATCATGATGATGATGATTATTAAGAGAAGTCATCACAGATACCACTTCCTCGGTGTTATTGGATGATAACATATCACTTTGGTGGTGTTCTGGTTCAATACTTATAGTGCCAATTTCAACAGCCCCAAAACCTAGCTTTATAAATGCATGTGGACCATCACAGTTTACATCAATACCAGGTGACAATGTTATTGGATTATTAAATGTTATACCACAGATATCTTGTATCATATAAGGATCTTCAGTATTATAATCAACTGGTAGATAATCATTCTTTGCTAATCTAGTTATCATGTTATGTATAGTATTCATAGGTAATACTGCCAATATTGGTGGTATACAATATCTAATAATACTATATAATAATAATAGTAATAATAATAATCATTACTGTAATACACTACTAACATCTTCCAATGATGATCCTATATATAATACTGCTGCACCCAAACATATACCAAACATTACATTACCCTGATAATAATAGTAATAATAAATATAAGATAATGATATTACTACCATACTATCCCTTCTTCTTTTACTCTCCCCCTTCATACGGTATCTAATGCTATAATCATTATTATTACAATATATGACGACTTACTCCATCATAGCACGTTCATAGTCAGCAACAGTAGTAGTTGATATTGTTGTATTGGTAGTATTCCCAACCATGTTACTATTACTATCATCATATTCGCTTCGTACCACACCACGGTGAATACATCTTCTATGTATTAGTAAGTGACTATAGAATAAGGTATGATGACGTTGGAAACTTCGCCTGTATAGGCATGGGAGTGGAGACACTATCATAACTGATGTGCTTCTTAAGGTTGCCCTTCTTTGTTGTTGGAGTGGAGACAGTTATAAACGTTGATGTACTACTGCGTGATATACTCCGATAATGGAGCGTTTTTCCTCGGTAAAACTATACAAAAGCATAATCGTTGTATTACTGATAAGGAAAAGAGACCATTTGAGTTGTGACATTATAGTAGGATGATAGTAACCCAAATTGGGGCGGCGAGTGGAACAGCATATACCGCAACAACATGAACTTACGCGTGTATAAGTGTGCAGGAGGGGACATCATCACAATCATCATTATAATACTATTCACAACGGAGGTGTATTGAAATCTCTTCATATATTATTACTCATGTCATCATCAATAAGCCATGATGATGATGTAATGGGGAGTAGCAAGGGGAGCAATAAACCAATACGTGTAGCATTTCAAGGGGAGAAGGAGCATATAGTGAAGCTGCTATGTAATACAAATGATATTATTATGGTAATGATAATAATACTCAGATATGAATA